TTTCTCTGTTTCACACTCTCTCTCTAAACTGAGAGAGTTTAAAACTCTCTCGCCTCTCTCTAGCTTCCCTCATCGGAGGGAAGCCGGTCACCGGCCGGCAGCCCCAGAAAAGTTTTTTACACCTAAATTTAGATCGGACCATCCTATTGATGGTTCCGATGACCGTTTCCCTTAAAACACTCCCGATCGGAGCAAATCTACGAAAATACCTTTGGTTTTCGAAGGTTTCCGATGATGTGTGAATGTTCCGGTGATGTTGCAGCTTCCTCAGTAAGTATCTCTCCGTCTTTCCTTGCTTATTTTGGTGTTTGTGGTTGCTGGTTTGCTCGCTTTTTTTCTTGTTTTTTTTTTGTTGTTGGTTGCCCTCTTCTTTGCTTGCTGTGGTTCTTTTCTTTCTTTTTTTTTCTCTCTTTTTTTTGTCTCTCTTTTTTTTTAGGTGTGGTCGATGGCTTTTATAGCCATCGACGGTGTGGCTCTCGGACCGGTCACAGAAGGGAGCACCTCGGTGAGTTATCGAGCTATGTGATGACTCACCCTTAGAGCAGCAACGTGGACGTCCATCTGGGTCTTCTGGATCCTTCGGTGGTGGCGAGGCGTGGCGGTAGCTGAAGTGCCAACGTGGAGATGGCAGCTGGCGTGGGGCGGTTGGAACTCACTGGAAGCTTGAGGCGGCGGCTGGGGCTAGGGTTTAGAAACCCTAGTGAAACCCCAAATGTTTAGGGTTTCTGGTTAGTCTGGGTCGGTTCTGTTTTATTTGTAATTGGGCCGATCCAGTTTTTATTGGGTCTGTTTATAAATAATAATTATTTAATAATAATATAATATATATAATATAATAATATTTAATAATAATAATAATTTTAATAATAATTTAAGTAAAATGAAAAATTGGTGTTTACAAACCCAAACCTCTTTTACCCGTGAACCAGCCTCAACCAGAACCGAAAAAGCTAAGGTTTAAAAACCCTAGCTTCAAGCCTTGCCCCAGCGCCGCAATCTCTTCCTCGTTTGAAGACCCCTCACTCCGCACGCTTCTCCGTCGATTTTTCCGACCGCACGCTCGCAAGAAAGCATCACCAACAAACAACCAAGAACAATCATATTAGGACTCTCATCAACTAACAAAACCGAGTTTCTCTCGGGATCAAATACTAAAAATAGGGCGTTTTTGTATTATAAATAGATGAACACTAACACACACAAGGGATCACGGAAATACTAGCAAATACGAAAGGAAAATCCGAGCACTTGTAATATCCGAAAGCAAGAAAGAAATATAAGGTATTTTTTTCCTTTTTACCTTCGAGCGTGGCATGCATATTGTCTTGTTTTCTTTCGGTTTAAAAACCAAACGTTGATGACCGGAAATAAGGGGTTCAAAATTTTATTTTTAGATCTACCCCTTATGAGGCATATTTTAAAAATATATGGTGGTTTTCATGACGAGGGGTTATAAGCTATCGGAAAATAAGGTTTTTTTTTTCACCGTCGATGACCGGCGATCGGCGCCGAGCAATGGCGACCGGCGAGGCGGCCCAACCGTCGGTTTTTTTAAAAATGTGGCCCTTGTTCTTCGTTGTTGAAGAACATTAGAGAGAAATCAAAGAATGGGGGAAGGGGTTTCGGTTGGAGAATGATAGAAATGAGCATTTAAAAAAAATTGGCTTTTATATTAAAGCCCATAACCGACCTGAGCGTATCCCCTAGGGGATCCGCGTGTTTTTTAAACATAATAGGGAAATCACCGTTTGGTCCCTCACATTTTCAAGAAGCTTCATTCTGACCCAAAATCTGATTTTTTACACTAAATTTTCTTTTTAATTTGGCCCCAAATTTAATCTTTCTTTCAAATTAGTCCTTATATATATATATATATATAGTTAATTATTATTTTTATTTATTGATTATATTTTTTTCGGTTGGTTTTATTTATTATTATTATATATACTACTTTTATTTTTTTTCCTCCTATTTCTTTTGTCTTTATCATTATTATATTTACTATCTTATATATTTTATATATTCTATTTTTTTTTTATTTTACATTTTCAGTTTTTATTCTTATTACTTTTCCTGAAACACTTTGTTCACATGCATAATCATCGTATTCATTTACTTGCATATTTTACCTTTTTTTCTTAACCCCGTTATTTATTTATTTACTATTTTCTTTTCCTTGGCATCATTGTCGTCATCTTCTTCTTTGTTTTATACAATTTATTTATTCATTCTTTTATCATTATTTTATTACTTTTTATTTTCTTTATTTCTTTATTTATTTTGTTTATTTTTTTTCACCATTTATTCCATTTGTTTTTCCGGTTTACTCTCTTTATTTTATTTTCATTCTTTGTATAATGTGTTTCTTGAATTATTTAAAGGATGATTTCAAATCAATCTAAGGTAAGCAATTGAGATCTTTATTTTACCTTTTAAGTTAAATTTTTAATTTTGTTAATTAAAGACAACTGGAAACTAAGTAGTACCGAAAGGGCAGTTCAAGGGTGCTAACCCTTCCTTGTCTGTAACCGACTCCCGAATCTGACATATCACTGGTAAGATGCAGATCAGGTAAGAAATAAGGTATTCGATCAACCCATTTACTTAAAAATAAATGATCGATGGCGGCTCCCTAATTCATTTTCCTAAGTCGAAGCCCAATTCTGGGCCCAACCGAAAGAAGGTTCCGACACTTAAAATAAATAATTTCTAAATAATTTACCAGCCAATAAAAATTGATTTACGCAACATCAACTAAACACCGTAAAATGATTTCTACAAATTGATTTTTAAGAGATGTAATTTTTTTATGAAAATTAAATTATTTTCTGAAATCTGTTTTTCCATGAAATAAAAGGATACTAGCAAACAAAAAGATCATAGTCTCTATTAGCCCCAGTCATTTAGCAATCTCATTTCCTTCCAAATAATGCAAATCTTGGACCATTTAATACATAGCACCTTATTAAAATAATAATGTTCCACAACTTCCAAGATCAAACAATAGAACAAGTGATTCTATCACAAAACCACACCTTTAAAATTTCGTTAACAGATATTGAAGGCTCAATTGCTTTTTGCTCTGCTCCAAGAATAAACGTTTGTTTCTATTGGATAAAACAAGAAATCTAGATATGAAAAGGTTTGAAGTTGCTCTAAGCTCTTGAGTTGCTGCTAGATTTATACATGTTTCAAAGTCAAAATATATGTTCAAAGAGTACAAACATAAAAATGATAAGCAAATACCTATACAAGGCTAAATTTCATTTATTTTACTTACCCATAGTTGTTTCTAATAGAGGATCCTCTTCATTCTATAAACATAGTGAGCATCTCCACTAATTTTACTATTATATTACTCAAGTACATCCGGACTTGTACAAGGCTAAAAAATTTACATGTCACCCATTCTCTTTCTTAATGTAGGATACTATCAATTTTTGTTAACGAGTTGCCTTTTATTTTTCCACAATTAGTTTCCTTTTCTTCCTCAAGGAATTCTTTCTTTCTGGTTTACATTCAAACTATTGTAAGGATAGACAATATTTTAAGGGGGTTTTCCCAAAGGAGTGGGTTGTCTAATTCCAATTTGGTTTTTGACTTATCAATGATGCACCTTCCCAAATTTGACCCATCCAAAGCTAAAGACGGCAGATGGTGCAGACTGAAATTACTTGGTTCTATAGCAATATTTGAAGTAAAAATAAGACTGATGAGGAAAACGGTTGAAAGGAGAAAGACTTTGAGTAGGACAAATCTGGTGAGTGAATAGGAATGCATTTATTGAAAAGAAATTATCATCAATGTCATATGGTCTCTCCCACTAGTCCTTAGGACCAGAGATCCTAGCATGAGTCTCTCCCACTGTTAGTAGCAATAAGCTAGAGTCACTTGTTTCTTGTGGAATACCGAATCCATGCTACCTGAGAAAGATCCTCATGATGTCAGTATTGTAACCTCAACAAGGCTTGGTAAGAAAACGTAAGGTTGGCCTATTCTAGACTCGAAACACTCCATTCTTGAATCATGGAACAGCCTAAAGGTCTTACTTGAAGGATAGAAAACCATCATTTTTTAAAAACCTCATAATCCCCAACCCACTTGAGCTTAAGGCTAGAGTAGAGGGATTCCTTTCTCAATGGCTTTTCCATCTTCACTCCACCATTAAGAATATATCACTGTACATCTTTTTCTTCGTTTTAGATGCTTTTTGAGCAAAGCATTCAAGAGAATAGTTCTTGTCAAACATGATCCTCAAATTACATCTTCAATTAGAAAATCATGTATTTATTAATGAAACTTATGCAAAATAATACTAGAAGTCCTATTAGATAAACGTGAGGGGGGGGAAAGGCACAATTGAGCTATCTGAGGATTCTAGAAACTAAAATGTGACCAATATTTACCTTTTCAATCTAGTGAAACTTATGTAAAATGACATCAGAAACAAATGAGATTTACAATGATCTGTGACAGCAGAGTACCTTAAGCCAAACTCCCTGAGCGACCGTTTTCAGGAGATCAATAGATTTTCTTGCAATGGCATGCCACCAGCTATCTTGCAATGAATTTTACAACAAAATTTGCTCAATAACTAATTAATGGATAAAAGAATGCCATTCCTTTCGCCATACCTCCCAACATCGTAACATATGTGAACTAGTTTTGAAGAATGAGTACAAGGATGAAAAGTGCCCAATAATTCCATATTCTATAAGGCCAACTAAATTTTCTGGTTGAAATAGACAAACCTACTGTCACAGCTTTGTAGTATTGAAAGAATCTACTAAATAGGTCTATAACACCAAGAATTTTCTTTCACCAGACATCATTGCGAAAAGCAAATACATAAATAGCAGAATTCTACAAGAAAGTTAAGTTCCCTACTCCCATTATCATTTAAAGCATAATTCATGTATATCTTCATATATAGTTTCCAAGATAGGATTATCCGATTTCAGAGGAAAATCAAAATGCACCTCTAAAATAGCACTAAATTGTTACAAATTGTGCAACCTTACTAACCTGGCAACTAGTCTCCCATAAGTATCAATCTCTATCAGTATCAGAAGAGTCACTCAAATCAGAATCCAATTCTTCTTGATCCACAGCATTGTCTAGAGGCTGTTTCCAGTCACCGCAAATCTCTCTCATCAATTCATCATCACTCTCATCATGTTTCCCTGTCAACTTCCTCTTTAGAATCCCTTCGAAAATTGAAGGTATAGCCTCGTCATCTCCATCGAAGAACTTCTTTATTCGCATCTTTAGCTCTGCAAGAAACCCATCTAGAAAATATTACTACTCTAAAATACCTGGTGAATTAAATAGAGACTTAAGTTTGAACATTGGACTACCTTCCTTACTAACGTCGTCATCGTCGTCTCCGCCGCCGCCATTGGTGGAGTAGAACCTGGGTTGAGAGCGAATTAAAGCAGCGAGAGAGAAGTACGAGGGCTGCTTGGGTAGTGGGAGAAAAGTATTAGATTTAGCAGAAGATTGAAGAAATCTGCAACCAAGAAATGACATGTTTCTGAGCAGAGCTAATTTCATTGCTTCTTCTTCGAGGGTTTAGGGTTTGAAGACAAGGAATTGAACTTTTATGTAATAGTTTAGGTGGGAAATTTTCGTACCATATGGTATATATTCATTATTCAGTGATATAATAACCGGACCAGTGATTAAACCGGTTGAATCACTAATTCATGGTGTAATGAATTCGACCGGTTAACCACTAATAGGACACATGGTAAGGCTGTTTGGTTCGGGAAATGTAGGATTCTTATGAGAATAGAATCCATATTCCTCGTTTGGTTAGCTGGAAATGTCATTCTCGGTAATATTTTATTACCAATAGTAGATTTTTTAGGATATATTATCGAGAATGTCATTACCCCTTCCTTTAGGTATTATTGGATTATCGACGTTTTGGACTAAAATGTCCTTAAAAAAATTTCAAAAATATCATTCTTCTGTCATTAAATAATAAAATTCTACGAGGTTAAATTATAAATTTATCCTTGAACTATTTTAGATTTACAAAAAAAATATATAATTAAAATTTTATATGAAGTTCAGATATTAAAATAAAATTTTACCATTTCATTAAATCTTTTTATATTTTCAATTTTATAAAAAAATTATATAAATTTTATGACTTTAATTTTTTTAAAGAAAATATATAAATATTTTCCAACTTGTTAAAAAAACAAATATATAATAAGGATAATTTTGTCAAATATACATTTCAATAATCTTTTATTTTTTAACCAAAGACAGTAATCTTACATCTATGCTAAACCAACCAAACACAAAATACAATATTCCCAGCAATCCTATTCCTTGGTAATATTTTATTCTCACTGTTAATCTTACATTCCGTGAACTAAACGCACCCTAATAATTTGTTAGTTACAGTCCTTGTATAGATGAGAATCTAACCTGAAATTCAGTGTTCCGATTTGATTCGATAGGATAGAATCGTATTTTCAAAAAGAATTGGATTTAGATTGGATCTAGTAGGATCATTTAAGGGGTGAGGTTGAATTTGGATTTGACCAACATGAGGATAATAATATAATTTATTTAAAAAAAATTATTATTTTTTAATTAATTAATTATATTATATTAGGTTAGATTAGATCGAATCGGGTTGAATTTATTTTTTAAAAATTTAGGTCAGATTAAAATCGAATGGAAGATATATATTTTTGAAACGAATAAAATTTAATTAAAAGATATATATTTTCGAATCGAGTCAAATTTATACCCTATCACATCTTTATCCGTGCATGAAATAAGCACAGGTTGAAAGAAACTTTTGAATCGACTAAAGTATTTTTTTATTTTTTAATATATTACTAATTTGATGTTTTAAAAAAATTAAAATAAAACAATCCTATAAAGGATAAATTGCCTAAATGATCACTTAACTTTTAGTGTCCTAACACCCAAAATAAATGCTTTCAATTTAGTCACCATTGTTAAATAAACTTGGCATTTTGGTCACCCAAATATTAAACCGTCGGTAGCTAAGGTTTTTGTCACCCAACTTTTATGCATTAATGTTTTGGTCATTTAAATATATTTTTATATTTTAGCCACTAAACCGTAAATTCAAGATATTGATGTGATCTAAAGACCTATTTTAACCCATCAAAGTAAAACTCATATTGATTGTTTTCAACGTCTCATCAGCAACCCATGTTGTTTGATATGGGTGTCCCTTGTTCCCATATGTAATGGGGTAAGGGGAAGGTAAGATAGTAGGCTGCCCTTATCACTAGGTTGAGAGCAGCTTCCGTAGGAGACCTTCAAATTATGAAATGCCCTCTATGATACTCGATCCTACGACCTCAAGGTTAAGAACCTTGTGCTCTACCAACTGAGCTGGATGATTGGAGACTCCTCTAGTGATGCTAAAGTATAAACTAACAAGTAAAGATAATATTGAATAAATCCAAGTGTAATTTTTTTCTACGTAGTTCTGAATTATTATCATATTTGTTTCAAGATATACTACCTTGTTTTTTAAATTTTAGCACCTCTTATTATAAATTAGTATCACATCTGCACAATTTTAATCTTAGCAAATTCAGCTAGCCAACAACACCTAATGTATATATTATCTCTTATGCTAATCATATTTATTTATGTTATAAATCATCATATGCAGGGTTCATCGAAATTATGTCAACGTCAATAATACATCATGCATCAACATACACATTATGAACCATATTTAACAATATATATTTTAGATTTTGTAAATAGAGAAAACATAGTAAACTTAGGAGAATTCAACCATATAAATAAGACAAAACCTTTACACATATTCTAACCTCATGAACCCAAATTTGGCCTTAGATTTTACTAAAAATTTCTCAAACATTGTAGATCTATTCAGAAAAAGAAATGTTTCTTTAATCTTTTACCCCGTTGAATAGTGATCATGGGCTGAACATCAGGACCAAGGTTAGACCCCCTCAATTATAAAAATTATGTTTATGAAAAATAAAAAGCATTTTAACTCCCGCTATAATAAATTCATAGTTCCACCCCTGATAGTGATACTTTCAAAATATGTTATTTTTTCATCATAAAAAAGACTCTATCATTGAGATTGTCGATATGAACTCTGAAACATTGAAGACGAAAATTTTTAAATGCAAGTCTTTTTTTTTGTTGATTAATTTTTGGAAAAATGCTAACTTTTGTACATGTAGTAGACTCAATTTATTATTTGCGCCTCTATCGTGTTTTCGCATCAATTTAGCCCTCGAAGTTGCTCAATTACATCATTTTATACCCTGCCCTAACTTAAAACCCTAAATTACAAACCCTAAACCATATACCCATAACCTCTAAACCATAAATCTTGAACCATAAACTATAACTTAGAGTTTATAATTTAGGGTTTTAAGTCAGAGATAGGATATAGAAGATGCAATTGAACAACTTTGAAGGCTAAATTGATGCGAAAACACGATAGGGGCAAAAGCGATAAATTGGGTATAGGGGCAAATGTGACCCTTAAGCCTTAATATTTTTAGTAGTCTAAGGTGATTATAAGGTAATATATATTAGGAATTTTCTTAACTTATTGATAACGTGTACACACCTTATAAATTCAGTTGTTCGAACTCAGGATTTCTAAAAGGAAAATTCTTCCTTTTTACTACCCAGCCTACTTGATGAGTTATTATTGATTAATGGCAAAAAGGCATCCACGACCCTCCAACTTTCAAAAAAAAATAATATGGCACCTATCGTTTTTTGTTCAATGTAGCCCTCTAACTCGAAAAAAGAATTCAATGTGGCCCTTTGACCAACATTTTTCGTCATTGACCAAGATTCTGTTAATTCTTGTTGTCATTAAAAGTGTAAATCACACCTTTCATCACTCAATTATTTTATTCTCTTCTATTTTGGTCTCTAAATTCTAAAAAATTTCAATACGAGGATATTTATTGTTATTTTATTAGATGGTTACATTTATTAAACTATTTAGAATTAAAAAATATTAAACTGATATCATTTATAAATATTAAAAAATAAATTTAGTAAATCATATTTTAAATTAGGACTAACCTGATTAAATATATAAATATGAAAACTAAATGTGTTTTCGTATAAATTTTAAAATTATCATGTCATCCCCATTATAATATTTAAAGTTCCATTTATGATTAGATTATGTGATTGGTCATTAAATTATGTGATTGATTTTATTCTTATCACTAAATAGAAAGATAATTAGATCAGATTAGTCATAATTTATAATATGATTTAAGAATTTTTTTAATATTTATAAATTATATCAATTTAATCTTATTCTAATTCTAGATAATGAGGTTGACGTGATAATTTAAAATTTTATTCAATAACATATTTAGTTTTTATATTTATATATTTAATCAAGTTAGTCCTAATTTAAAATATTGATTTAATAAATTTATCTTTTAATATTTATAAATTATATCAATTTAATATTATTTTAATTATAAATAGTTTAATAAATGTAATCATCTAATAAAATAGCAGTAAATATCCTCGTATTGAAAATTTTTAGAATTTAGTGACCAAAATAGAAGAGAAGAAAATAGTTGAGTGATGAAAGGTGTGATTTACCCTTTTAATAATAGCATGAATTAACGGAATCTTGGTCAATGACGAAAATCGTTGGTCAAAGGGCCATATTGAGTTCTTTTTACGAGTTGGAGGGTCACATTGAAAAAAAAACGATAAGGGTCATATTGGGGTTTTTTTTAAGTTGGAGGGCCTTGGATGCCTTTTTGTCTTGGTTAATTTGTTTTTTTTATTAAGTTAAGATAATTACAAAGTAGTATATGTTCTAAATACTCTCAATCATTTGACAATGAACGCTTAATTATCCTGCTACAGTAGCTGGTGCTCGAACCCATGACCTCTAGAAAAAACAACGATTCCTTTAACTATTGAGGTAAATTGGTTCGTGCACCTTGATTAATTTGTTTGATTTGTTAATTCAATCACAAATGAATATAGAGAAATTAATTAGAGAGGTTATGTTAGGTTAGGGTTTGACACCTAGGTCCATGGGTCACACAGTTAGGATCTTGCTTAGGTTTAGGGATGTATTTGGGGTCAGGTTTTGAACTCTAATTGTAAATGGGTAGTCTAGGCAGCAACAAAACTCCATGTTTTTCTTTTGTTTGAAACTACAAAAGCTTGAAGAAACTGAAAAAAGTGTTACTCTGAAACTAGGGAGTGGTTCTCTCTTCCTCACTTCATTCATTAAGGTCCATTTTTATAATTCCCTACGTATTGATTTATAGCCAAAAAAATCTGAATTTTGTGGACAATATTGAATGTCCATATAATAATAATAATAATAATAATATGATATTTAATCAATTTATTAAATCAAACCAAAAAAATAAAGACACGATCAAAATAGTTTAATTTTTTATTATTTACATGCCCGGGTAACTCTTCAGTTAGGGATGTTCAAACAATTAATTCGACTATCGATAGAATTCAATTTTTATTAACTGAATTAATTGAGTTTTTCTAAGAAAAATATTAATCGAACTGAATAAAGTTCGGTTAATTCAACC